TTAGTAAATTGATTACTAACGTCTCTTCATTTGGTGGCAGCGGTGGGATCCAACTCCGAGATAAGAGTGCAAATTAATAAAATAAAATAAAAAAAATTAAAACAAAAAGTGTGTGAAAAATAAGCAAACTCTTAAAATTATCAAGTGATACAAAAATAAAGTGCATCAATTAAAATCGATGAAAATCTATATAAAATCATCAAAATAATTCTAATAAAAATAATAACTGGAAGATTTAATAAAAAGAATAATAACAAGTTCAGAAGAAGATTTTGAAGTTTAAAACGTGGGACCAAATCAGGACTTAAATCTACAACCCTGGAGCGACGATCAAGGTGAACAAAACCCTCTATCATAATCAAAAGGAATTCAAGAAAATATTAAATCCATTGCTATTCCAGCTCCCGCACAATTTCAAAGTTTTTGCCACATACCAATAGAAAATTTAGAATTTTATTACGATACATTTTCAGAGACACCGACATCAAATTAAAAATTTTTATGACAAATTATTGAAAACCTAACACCGGATGAGATGATAAGTAAGATCTTAAAACCAATTTCATAGATCACAATATACGGGAGGTCATCTGGGCCATAAAAAAACGTTCAGCAGAATACGTAGTATATACAAATGGCCAAAGATGCGAAAACAAATTAAATCATATGTAAGCAAATGTCCTGATTGTCAAAAAAAAAAAGTATGTAAGAAAACAAGGCAACCTTTAGTTATAACAACAACAGCCCGCGAGCCTTTCGAAAAAAATTGTATTGATATTTGCGGCCCTTACCCCGTTTCTGACTCCGGAAATAAATATTTGTTGACATTTATATGCGACTTAACGAAATATGCAGGCGCCATCCCCATTTGTAATCAAGAAAGTTCGACAGTCGCAAATGCATTCGTTTCAGAAATTATTTTTAAAATTTGGCTTTCCTAAGGAAATTCTATCTGGTCAAGGCACCACGTTTACTAGCAATTATTCAGGACGTTTGCAAATACTAAAAATTAAAAAGATAACAACTTCCCCGTACAGACCTGAGTCGAATGGCTCTTGTGAAAGGATCCATAGGGATTATGTTCAAAACTTGAGATCTTATATTAACAAAACCCAAACAGATTGGGACAAATGCATAAAATACGCAGTTTTATCCATAATACAACTATACATAACGCGACAAATTACACACCTTTCGAGTTAGTTTTTGGTAGGAAAATAGAATTACCACTGTCTATAGCAAAACTATATTTCAATATAACTACGACACTTACGTTAATGAGTTAAAATCGCGGTTATCGCACGCGAATAGTTTCGCTCGACAGAATTTACTGAGTAATAAAGAAAAAACTAAAAGTAACTATGATCAAAATTTGAATCCTGAAACCTTTGAGATCGATGAGTATGTGCTTTTGAGAGATGAAACTCCGTATCCGCGGCGATGCAAAAAACTTTTGCCCCTATGGAAAGGTCCCTTTAAAATATTAAAAACCGATAGTATAAATAGTACCATTTTGATCCATAATAAACATGTACAAGTGCACAACAACAAATTGAAAAAGTTTATACCAACGAGAAAAGTAACATAATCTTTATCAAATTTTCTAAAAAAAAAAAAATCTTATTATTGAATTCCATTTAATTAATTTGATAAATCTCATAGAATAATGTTAATTATCACATAAATCAAATTATCAATTAAATTTTATTGATTAAATAATAATAATAAAAATAATATTTCTTTCACAAATAAATTAAATCTAAAATATGTAATGTAAATGTAAATCTAGAGAATTTAAAAAAAAATAGTCCAATTTATAATATTAATGTTAAGGTTTAGCTAAGTGTTTGATTTACTAAAATATAAATAAAAATGATGTCTTTAGTTGTTATATCCTTATGTATCAACTCATAGTTATTAAGATAAAGATTTTAGTTATTAATGTACCAGTTAATTACAACCTGAAATTCGCTAATGTTATGTAATAAGCCGAGGACGGCTTAATTTTCACGATGGAGGTGTTGAGAATTGTGTTCTTTATAATTATAAATAATAGTCATAAGTAAATTCCTTTGAACGATGTATACTCCCAAGTAACTGTAAATGTTGCGAATATTTTGTACATCTGCCAGACAACCCTTAATAAAAGTTTATGATAGCTCATGTACCTTCGGCGAGCTATCATAAAACTAGAAATATTGGAAATATTTTAAAAATGTAAAAATATAAGTTAGTTAGTCCTGAACTCTTGAACAAGCAACAACTGAAATATTATAATAAAACGATAAATAAATTTTTGTATCTAAATAAATTCTTTGATTTCACACACTTCCCGAAGAGCTACAAATGTTCCAATTCTCGTATTCAAAAGTATTCAAAATAAAACCCTAATCTACTCAAGAATTATTAAAAATTGGTTACATTTAATTATTAATTAGTAAATTGATTACTAACGTCTCTTCAATATATATGATACGTTTAATAGAGAACGTAGTGTAGTTGAGTAAATAAAGTGATCAATAGATTGTGTTTATAATAAATATGGTAGAGTTAACATATATATATATACATCAAAGAATAAAAAGCAAAGATTTATAAATTAATCTTTAATTCCGAACGTTTCGACATTCAATTTAATGTCATCATCAGTGGATATTAACGTTGGTAGGTTACATATAGAGATGTGTACACAACACTAGAAATTAGCACTAACATTTATACATCTAACTTGTCAACACAATGAATTTTTTTATCATTTTTTGTATGGTGCAAAAAGAAAAATGATAGTTTAATTTGAACAAAAAATGTGAGTAAAGTTAAGTCATTTCTGCCACGACTTGTGTACTGTGCAAGGTCCGAGGCTTATGTCTGTGGCTCAATAGCTTTTCACAAAATTATATTCTAGTTACATAGTTTTCATAATTTTTATTGAAGATTGAATCTTTGTTTTTTCTTTTCTTTGTTTCATGTATGGGCCTTAAACAACTTATCCATATATCTCAACATCAAAATTAACTACTAAATCACACACACACGCATACACACACATATATATATATATATATATATATATATATATATGTTTTTTGAATTAAGAACTGCCTATCTTCTGCAAAAATATATTTAATTTTTAATCATTTAATTCTACATTTCATAGTTATGATATGTGTCGTTTTTTATAAACTACATAACAAAAAAAATTAATAATTTATTATTCATTATTCAATTAACCTAATAACTATTTGGAAAATGTTTAGTTAATAAGATAAGAAATAAATTCATTAATTTTTAAAATTATAAAATGTTATACACATATATGAATTTTTTTTAATTATGAATAGTACACGAAGGGAACATCCCATATCTCGTAAAATGTCGAATAAAATAATTGCATACATAAATACACTTGCAGGCAGGCAGGCAGATATATATATATATATATATATATATATATATATGCTAACATATACTCATATACACATCACATAAAACAATTGAATACATTGTAGCTGTATTTTCATTAAAGAAAATTGACATGTCAAATACTAAATATTATAGTTTGATTTTGCATACAATATTTGAATCAAGTAATCAATTAAACAGTTACAAAAGTAATATTCAGAGTTATTTTACAAGAGAACGAGTTTTTGCTTCATCTTGACATGATGTTTGACGATACTTCTTTACTTCATTTATATAAATAGCCCAAGGATCAGTTGATTTGTTATCTTCATTTACTTCATCCACTTTTGCTTTTTCAACTACACCAGTTTTTAAAACCTTTCCGCCACGCCTTCTTCCTACTATTGGAACAGGTAAATTGTTTTGTGCTGTTTTGCATTTGTTGTACTTGTCCATGCATTTGTTGAACATTTCCAAAAAACTTCCATCATTTTTGAACACTGACTCAATCACTACTTCTTGTTTCCGTTCTTCTTTGTATTCAGGCCTAATTTCAAGCTTTGTGCTATATTGCTTACTAATCTCTGTGTCCACAAGGTTGCTTGATGTGCTGGGAAAAGGCTCATGACAGATGTTTTTTGAACGGGAATGATTTCTAAGTTGTGAACTTTTTCATTACTATGAGAAAGTTTGAAATCTCTGTTTGTATTTTTTTTACTAGAAAATCTATCATGTGAATCAATTCTATCATATGAACGACTACGAGATCTTGAACGATGCTTTGATTTAACATGATCTTGATTTTCTCTTCTTTTATTGTAATTTTTATGATCACAATTGTGTTTATCATTTGAGTCACTTCTAGACAGATAACTACTATATTGGTGACTATTGGTTGATTTGCTCATTTTTTGTTTACAAATGCCAAAGTGTCAAATACGAATTTTATTTTGATTCACTTTAAAAATATGTTCCATTTAATAAATGAGTATACAATATGGTATTCTTAGACGTATTCTAGAGCTCGATAAACCTATAAAAAACACTTCTTGGTGTAGTTACAACTTGTTGACGAATTGATACATTATAAATAGATGACATTATTTGTTTTATTTGCTAAATTACAAAAAATTAACGTGATAATGTACAAATCTAATTAAAACCATATATTTTAAATATCTACAATCATAAAATAATGTTCAGTATTTTACAAACCTGATAATCTAGATATAAGTAAGAACTCTCCAATTAATTGTCTATCAAATGCGCGTAAAATAGCCTCAATTTACGTCAAAGTCATTTATATAATATCTCCAGAGAGATAGCAAAAACCCTATTCGCTATGTGTGCGACTCATGGATCCTAGACCAGCGATGTCCAACCTAAATTACTCTTTGAGCCAACAAATCTGGAAACTAGTGGTGCATGGCATCGCGCCTTAAGGCAATTTGATGGAACTTCTCGTACCGTAATTTCAAACTTATAAAAGCTTTAATATTTTTGAAAACTTTGAAAAAATTAGATTTTTGAGAATCTTGAAATTATTGAAAAAAAAATGACTTTTTTGAAAAAAATGTTTTTTTTGTATTTTAAAACTGTTTGAAAATTCTTTTTTTTTTCAAAATAATCGTAATATGAACATTTTTTCGGATATAACACCCCACGTTTACAAACACATGGACTTATAGACTGGTGAGTGACTCGTGAACTAGTGTTGCTCACTCGTCTATAGAGCCGCTAGTCTCCCGTTGTCCGTTGCGTTGACAATTATTTGTCGTTATCTGCCAAGCGCTATCCATAGAGTATCATATCGACATCTATTCATTCCATTAATAACCATTACTTTCGGTTGAAGCTGACTTAGTGTTCAGACTTCTATATTAGCCTTTACAAAAATTATTTTATTTATTTAAATTGAAAATAATAATTAGTGCGATTGTTGTTTGTCATGGCGCCGCACAAAAATCGCCATCGGGCCGCTTCTATACAATATTAGAATACCCCGTGTTTATATAGACCGGCCATGTCCAACCTGCGGCCCGATAGCGATTTTTGTGCGGCCCCATGACAAACAACAATCGCACAAATTATTATTTTCAGTTTAAATAAATAAAATAATTTTTGTAAAGGTTAATATAGAAGCTTATGCTTATTTATCTATGTATAGAAGTCTGAACACTAAGTCAGCTTCAACCGAAAGTAATGGTCATTAATCGAATGAATAGATGGCGATATGAGGAGTATCATTATCCAGTGATGGTTTCACACCAGGGCCTTTTCACTCAGTGCAAAATCCTCGTTCAAAAACCGTGTTTCGTGGTATCCACATCTAGGTGAGAATTTGGCGCTAGTGCGCCGATACCAAGTGACAGGTTGAGAATTCTCTAGCATTAAGCGGCCATTTTGATCGGGGTTGTTATTTTGTTTTGTGACTGTTCTATTAAAGGGTGTTGTGTATAATTGTTTATAAAGTTTTAAATGTTCTCTAAACAAAAAGTATGATTTTCAAATGTAGAGTGAAAGTGTAGTATATATAATAGAAGGTGTGGAACGTATTTTATACATAGGTTGGTGTATATAATGTAACAGTCATTTGATATGACTTGATTCATTGTGAAAGAATGCTGAAAAGTGTCAAATCTTGCTTGGAATGATTATTATTTAATAAGCGTTGAGCATTGCTCTTGTAAATCGTAATGCACAAATACTGTAATTTAGTATTCGCTAAGTTATACTAAATCTTTATAGTCCTAGAATAAAGTAAACTCATAGAATAAAATATTTATTTGTAGTATTACAAGTCAAGGGGTTAATAATACTAATCCTTCTAGCCGTGCATTTATTGGAACCTACAAAAGCCTTGTTGTCAATAAGCTTCAATCCGTCAATTACTACACTGTCCATTGTGAGCATGATAAAACAGAAGGCGCGATTGATACATTAAAAATTTAATTGTCTAATGCTTCAGTCAATACCTTGTGCGAGTCTAACGTGAATGATAATATTCTTAATTCGTCTAATGTGAATACTAATGACTGTATTTTAATTAATTTTATTATCATTAGATATCTAATTATTGAATCATATATGTATTATAATTTACTGATGACATTTGACTGCATTTTACTAACATTATTGTAGTTACAAGTTAGCGTTAGAGTGAAATATAAATTGGTATGATAAGTATGTGTCTTTTGTATTTAAACCTGTATGTGATGTTATACATTTTATAATATATTATTGTTAAAATATAATATTGTAATTAATAATTAAATTGAAATAAATTATTTTTCAAAATATACATTTTATATTATTTTTGAAACTGATAACTATGAATAGATGGCGCTGTTGTGATGTATGAATGTTGGTACGAATGATTGCGTGGATATATAGGAATACTATGGAGGATGATTGTAGGCGACGTTTACTTATCTATGGGCGACAGGGTTGTAGTGTAGCCTTAGAGCATAGATAAAAGAAGAGTATATAGATCGCTCTCTCGGGGCATATTTCGTTGCCACGTTAACTGTCAACTTGCCCGGGTTAGTTCGAGCTGCTCTTCCTTGGTGCGCACGCGTCGATCGTAGAACGGGTGCGTACATAAAATACTATAGAAATGAACCAATATTATAGACCGTTTGAATTCAAAATTAAAAAAAAAGAAATTGAATTTTAAAAAACATTTATTTTTAACAATAGTATTTTACACACATGGTTACAAAAGATTCATCCTTATAAGCTAAACACAAAAGAAATAAAAATGTATATACATAAACATATATATATATATATATATATATATACATATATATATATAATTTATTTATATTTCTAGAGCAAAGATTACTTATAATTACAATTAGATTAAGATAAATAATTTAAACACATCTCATAATTCGATCTCAATAATAAATAAATCAAAAAATTTGAGAAACTATCGGATATCTTTCATTATTCGCAAACATTTGAGAAGCTATCAGATCTCTTTCATTCATATAAAAAGCAATATATATATATATATATATATATATAAATCATATGTAAAATTAATGCATACGATAATCTTTTCAAATAACTCAGTTTATATTTTTTGCGAATAATGCTAATTAACAATTAAGTTACTCTTTTGTTTCTGTTAATATTTTCTACGACTAGTGTTGATGTTCATTTGAATGTTGAACAAAATGTCATTATCATCATTAACATAAAGAAGGAAATTATTAATAGTAATGTACAAGTACTTAATAGTTTTCTTATGGCATCTTCAATAACACATTTAAGAATAACATCTCTATCAGAAATAAGGGGCGCACGTTAATGGTGTTTTATTCCTCTAAATAAAAAAGAGATTAGCAAATATATACTTTCTTCCATTTGACAGTTCCTGTCAATCTGTACAATGTAATTATTTTTACGGTCATTAAACAACGCAGATAATAATATTTCTGTGTATTATCAAAATGCAACTATCACTACTCATAAACTTTTCGTGGAACATAGCCAAACCTAAATTACCCCTTAGCTGGAATTTTATCATTAAGCATGAATTTCCTTCCATTTAATAATTCAGTATCTTCTCTTAGCCGACTTAATATATCATTATGAATACTATTATTCAATGCCAGTGGGAGATCAGCATGTTTCAGACTGGCTTGTAATTTCTTTATTAATGTTTTTCCCTGTTTATTCGTCTCATATCAATACTTGTGTTTTAGTAAACCCGTTTCATAACTACTTCCAAGAGAAAAACTGCTGAAAAAAATCAATGTTAAATTATTTATTATAAACCTTTATTATTAATACAAGAATAATTCTTAAAACTTACCTATCAGTGAGTTGGTTAGTCTGACAGCAATTTTATCTTTCAATAACTATAACCTTAAAATTCCTAGCATTATTAAATGTCTCAGTTATTATGCTATAATAAAAACTTATATCAGACTAGTAGTAATAGATGCAAGTATTTTGAAGTATGCATATTGATAAAAATACTTACTTATTGTTGAAGGCCCGTAAATATTATTAATCATTTTACCTACTACATAGGTTCAAGTGTTCTAGTAGAAAACACTAGTTTTGACCAGCCAAATAGCAAACATCTACAACATCCAAAACAATATTTATTTATGATTAATATGTTCGGTTATTTTATTCTTATTACGTACTTTGTCATTTCTCGCTGGAAATACATGCAATTTTGCATTTTTTGGTATTAGTGCACCCTGGAACGTAACACATCGACATTTTGCTTGTAAACTAATCCTAATCACTTATAAACGCAACCGAACGTTCTCGAAATTGTTTGATTGCCCGCGTTGAAATTCTTACCAGATGAGTGCCAAATCGCTGCAAGAGCGCTCCAAGGGAGAGCAGCTCAAACTAAAATCGAGCTACAGAGTTTTGTTCGGAGATTACCGGCCATGCCTTAGAGTAGAGAACATATATAGAGAACTTAGTGTAGTTATAGTGAATAAAGTAATTGTTATAAACATTGTTTTTTAATATAGAGACGATTAGAGATAGTTAACAAATCAGAAGTGGGATTACCGAGGATTATCCTAAGATGAATTTAAAGACATTATTGAGATATACAGTGAACATAAAACTTGACAAAAAAAAACAATATGAGTGAAACGCGAGAGTTAAACCAAAGTGATGCTAGTATTGGAGAAGAAAGATTTGTACGCGACGGAGGGCTAACTTTAGAAGAAATACTCAAAACTATGATGCTGGAAAACAGACGCCGCGATGATGTTATGTTGAAGATGCTGGATACGATTGCGAGTGGTAACACATCAAAGGCTACAAGCGGACTGGCGATTATGCCAGAACTACTAAAAAGGATAAAAGATTTCAAAGGAAATCCGGACGAAGCAGGCGCATGGAGGAGTGAAATAATAACCATTCAACTATTGCATCAATTACCCGACGCATATATTCTGGAAATTGCTCGAACACATCTCGTCGGCGGAGCGATGCATTGCTACGACGCGAGGCGACATCTATTGGTTACGTGGGCGGACTTCAAGAGTGCGTTCAATGATACGTTTGCGTCTAAGGAGACGACAACCGAGAAATGGGTTCGAATGATGGATAGGGTGCAACAACGAGGTGAACCACTTTATGATTACTTCCACGATAAAGTTAGATTGTGCCATAGATAAAAGAAGAGTATATAGATCGCTCTCTCGGGGCATATTTCGTTGCCACGTTAACTGTCAACTTGCCGGGGTTAGTTCGAGCTGCTCTCCCTTGGTGCGCACGCGTCGATCGTAGAACGGGTGCGTACAAAAAATACTATAGAAATGCACCAATATTATAGACCGTTTGAATTCAAAATTA